CACCTTTAGCAACAGAAAGCTATAGGCTAATAGTAGCATTAACTATAATAGACAAAAGCCAAGTGTTATATTTTGTGTACAATTTTCTACATTTTTATACAAATGCGCTATATTTTACCAGTTTATGAATAAACATGTTCAGTGGGATGGATGCAGAATGTTTGTTTGTTTGTTTTTTTATGTCAGTGGGGTTTGTTTTAGTCCAGGTTACATCACTTTAATTTTAGGATGAGGAGTCAAAGATCTATAAAACCTGGTAAAGACAAGGGTGTTATCTGCTAGATTATGTTTGTTTCTGTGTTTCTGTGTTTGGTGGATTAATGCAATGACTCCTTTCCTCCAATAGAGTGCAGCACAGGCTGAGATCAAGCACAGATAGGCATATAGTATTTCACTACATTCATTCACTACAATTAAGGCCCCCATAGCATAATTTGGATGCTGCACACTCAAAATAGTCTATCATCCCCGTAAGCATTTAATCTGCATAATTATGATCCAGTGCCATTTTGCCCCAAGATTATTGAAAGTCTACCTAACTGGCCAAGCAGAGGACATTTGTCATAAATCATCTGTCTTTTTGTCCCTGTCCTAATTGGAAAACCCCTTGTTATGATTATGATTTAGATCTGCCTGTCATGGCAGCCTATTATGAGCTACAGTGATCTGCTAGGCTGCTACAGAAAGTGAGTGAATTAGCATTAAAAATGGCTGCTCTCGGTGACATCAGTTCCTGGACGGGTTCTCTGTGGTCAGTGGGGACTGGCACTATGGGCTGCTGAATGCTGTAAGAAAGAAAAACTACACAAATCTTGCTCGTAAAATATTATCAACATGACATTTTTGCTTTAAATAACAAATAAGAGAGTGGTGGGAAATTCTGGAGAGAAAAGGGGGTGTAAAAAGGTTTATACCCATGACACTGTTTCATATGATACTGTGCACCACTGGTTCCCAATTTTTCTGGCATGTGACTCTTTAAAATGAAGTCATGTCTATTTTTGACCCCACATCACAGGACATGGTGGTGTGGAAGTGAGTTATGAGCAGTGCAACCAAAGAGTGATTTTCCCCTTGGATTGATGCAAAATTAGAAAAAAAGGTTTTTCCTCTCTCCTCCCTTTAATCACCTTGTGACCCCTCAGAAACAGTACGCTTACACCTACTTAAAGTATGTGAAAGTAAAGCCCAATTAGCCTATGAATAATTATAATTAATACTGGGTAATTACACCATGACTACTGAAGATATTAAATTCCCATTTCTTTCCAGGCAGCTGTCCATTTAAATATATAGTGTAACAAACATAGTGCTGGTCAAAAATCACATCATCACCTTTGTAAAAAGGTGCGCAAGCCCTATTAATTGTCTGTGACCATAGCAACAGTGCCCTATATCTGCCATGTGCAACCTTGCAACCCAGCTAAACTAGCTAATTCTCACTTTTAAATCAAAACTACAAGCAAGCACTTTTAAAACTTCCTGACAATTTGAACACGCCTATGGTAAGTGACACTACTCTGAAATATTACAATATCCTTATAGCCTATAGAAACTGTGTGTTATTTTTGTAATTTTTGTCATAAGAACACCTCCTCTTGTGCTAATGCTGTCATTCGGTTAATCTGCTGTGTTTGGTGAACTCATAAAGATGATTTACAGCAACTTTTTAATGTAATATTTTTAAAATAGTATCCCCACCATTACTTTTTACAGCGTTGGCTCATTTTGGTCCAGGGGCCCCAGTGTGCTTAGACTATATTGGCATTGTGGTGTTGTGGCATGGCAAAGTAGACTCACGGCAGCCACTACAGCCTGGCAGTGATGTTAAAGTTGACTCATTTGCTCCAAGGCAAGGGGAAGTTCTCCTGACGGACTACTGATTTGCAATCTGGCATATCCAGATATGTTATTTGAAACAATAGCTGAATCTCCACAACAAGGTCAGACCGGGTGTTTGCAGGAAGGGCAGCTGATAGGAGAAGAAAGGGAAAAGAATACCATTTAAATTTTTTTTATTTAAATACTTCAATACTGAATGGATACACGTAGAATACATTTGTGAAAATACTAGTGTAAGAAACAAGCAATGTTACAGCTGCTCAGTCACCCCAAGTCACCCAAATTATAGTTACATCACAAATGTGTACAACAAATTAAAATCACTTATTGTCAGAGAGCTTTTTGGACGAATTATTGCTGTAATATTGATTATATTTGAAGTTTGTACAGCAACTTAACTCCTTTTTTGACACAGTTACATAAATCTTAGTGACCTTCACTGATTTCTTTCTTCAAAATGTACATTTTGGAAACATTGTCTTGTCTTCTGCCTCAGGCCAAAGTGATTGTTATGGAAAATTTGCTTTTTTTCCACAAAATTAGAGAGTGAATGTGTGTTTGTTAAACTATATTCTTGAAGGTATTTGAATGTTAAAAGTTAGACACCACTGATGCAGATTTTGTTGTCGGCTTTCTACAATGTGATCTCTTTTCTGTAGAGTTACAAATGGAAATGCCAAAATAAGAACTGAGTTTTTCAAATGCAAAGAAGTGGGCAGCATAATGACTTTTCTCTTTTCTTGTCTTGCCATTCAGAGGGAGGCTTTTCTTTTCCTTTGTCACTTAGCTTGGCATATAATTAACTCCTGCTTAATATGCTGTTTAAGAGCTCTCCTCTCCATGCAAGAAGCTTTGAACCCATAGACCACAGTCAGGGACAAAACCCCAGTGGGACTGCTTCCTCCATGCTCCTCCTTGTGTGTGTGTGTGTGTGTGTGTGTGTGTGTGTGTGTGTGTGTGTGTGTGTGTGTGTGTAGTAGTTATTTTAACAAGACAGTAGAAAGCTCAAACCTTATTTTGCACCACACAACTATTAAACCAAAATAAGACTCTGCACAAACATTCAGCATACAATCTAAGTCATAGTCCATCAGTAATCAAAAAATAAACCCTCAATAAATGCATCCAACAGAAGTTTTTTTGTACAGTAAGTGTGTGTTTTAAAGTAAACTAAGAAAGCATACCGTAAAACCTAGAGCTCTAAATTCCAGATAGCATGTAATAAGTTACATTAAATAAATCAGGCCTGTGCCAGAAAGTTACAATCTAAATGACTTTTGAATGAAAAGAAAATTCAATTTAACCTGAAAAATTGATATCCTACAAGGACGTATGAACATAACTTAAAAAAACAGCTCCCAGGACCTCTGAAGCACCTCTGCACCTCTGTGACCCTCATCTGTAGCAAAGTTTATTGCCCCCTACTCTTCCACTTCTTCTCCTCCCTCTTTTTCTCCTCCCTCTCCACTATCCATCCCACCACAAAGAGCCGTGATGACCCTTCTGTCCCTCTCTTTCTTGGGCCCTCTGCTCCCTCCCAACCTCCAGGATGCTTTCTCTTCCAGAATCCTTTAAGAGACAAACCCCCAGCAGCCACGATGATCGGTGAAGGAATGAAGGGTGGGTGGAGGGGGGGTTGCATTTTGCTTTTCACCCCCTGAGCTGACAATGTGGAAAAACATTGTCTTACCAAAAACTGTGACATTGAGCTCATGCAGTTGTTGAAAAAGGAACAAGGTTGAGGTGGTAAGACTTGTGATCATTGTAGCAACACAGAAACAGCAATACCTTCATAATCATGTTATAAAGGTGTATAATAAATTGGCTTAATATTTAAAATATATGCTATTTTATTGACTACAGTACTCATCATGACCTTTAATACTCACACAGGGACAATAAGCAATGAATAGTGACTTTTTATACTAATATGGTATTAGCAGTGCTATAATGTGCGATAATGCTTACCAGCCTTTGCTTTAACACATTAAAGTCAGTGCCTATTTGTTTTGAGCGATTAAAGTTTATCAATTGAATCATTTGTCTCTAAAGGTTACGTGCAGGTAATCTGTCTTTTACTTCTCTAATCTGCTTCACTGTGTCAGATCCCAGTTTGTTTACTGCGCTCAGACTCTACAGCAGCGAAAATGCGCCGTGAAAAGCTACCCGGCTCGCCTGTATTATCTCTAAGAGGTTGGGGGGCACTAGAAAAAGCCAAGGTGGGGGTCCTGAACGCCGCGTTAGAGTTTTATTTCGGATGTTTTTTTCAGTTGCAAAACAGATTACGGTCCAGGTTGCAACACAAAGGACTGTCAATGCACCACTTCCTACAGCCATCCAGGGGTGAATGGGGCGCAGGACGGGGTCCACTCCAGGGTACTTGAGCGCAGGTGCGACGTGCATAACAGTCAAACCATAAAACATGACGGGGAGGTGGTGATGGGGTTGGGGGGTTGGGGAGGGGGGATACCTGTTCTCATTAACCTGCAGTTAGTCTAATCCCTAAAAAAAAAAAAAAAAATGTTGCAAGATGAGCCGCTGGAGTTAGACTAATTTGCACCTTGTTGAAGAGCCTGTATAGATAGCCTATATATAGAGACCCCTGTGTCTTATATATATATATAAGCTATCCGTGTGAGTTTGAGAAGCAGATTCAAAAGTTAGCCGTTAACTTTTTCTGATCAGTTATAGCATCAAAAAGTAATGAAGGAACACTGTCAAAAAAAAATGTGTCAAATCCAGTATCCGCAAGTTTGAATCACTTCTCATCGAGTCCGACTGTTGTTATAATTTCTAAATATCTCAGCAGATTCAACTGTAGAGTAATTACCCAGAAACAATAGGTTAAATTCACCCGGCTTTTAGGTGTTACATGGAGGAGAAGTAGCGCAGCGTATCCCCAAGTTTCAGATGGACAAACCCAGAACATGCGGATGCGTCGCCGCTCTCTTGAGAAGGAGGTGCAGGGCGGCGAATTCGGGACAATATTGTTGTCAAAAGTATAGCGGTGTGTTTATATATCTGTCGGTGCTGTTGTGAGCAGGTCTTACTAACACCGATTTACGGTGTAAATGAGGAGAGGTGTGCGTCTACGATGCCAACACTGACCTCAGGGGCCAACCTCTGCTGCTGACATCACTCCTCCTCACGGCTCGTCGCCTCAGCTTGGAGTCCCATCAAGGTCTGAGTCTCCCGCTGTGACCGAAGGCGATGCCTCATCACCATTCATTCTCCGACAGGCACTCAGGACAAACACACCACTCGCACCGCTCCCCTGGACAACTTTTTTTTTTTTTGGTGAATCAAAATAAAGAGCGTGATGATGACAGAAGAAAGTAGGGGCAAACGAAGGAAACAAGCCAACCCCAGGAGGAATCGAGGTAAGAAAACGTGCAGCGCTGAAAAGTTTTTTTTTTTTGGCAAGTTGGTAAATGATGCAGGCAGATGTTGCTGCAGCGGACAGGAGCTCTCGTGCAATCCGTGTTTATTCCTCCTGCAGTTTGTAGAAGAACTTTAAACATTATCTTTGTTGGAGCAATTTGCTGCGCGCCACTTCGCCTACATTCATATCACAGACATGTGTGAGTGTTTTTTTTTTTTTTTTTTTGCGTTAATGGCTTGTGATTGCATTGCTGTATAAATTTCAGGGATGAGCAGTTAACTTTGGCCACTGGGATTATTCTACCTGTACACATACCTGGGTAAAGCCGTGCACTTAAAGGTGCGATGTAATCTGCAAGAAAAGCTCACAACCTGTGGCTGCACGCGTTTTGTGAATGCTCTTGACCCTTGTATGTTTTATATAAGAAAGGGAGTTATTTAATAGATCAATGGTGAATCAAATCTGTCTCAAACCTTCCAGTGAAGTCAGAATCAGACTTTGATTTTGTTAAATATTTTTGGTCAAACATAAAAGGCTTCTCACAGTCTACTCTTACTGTACTGTGCTTCGACTTTCTCCTATATGTAGGCTTTAGTTTTGTTGCTGTTGACGCTCAAAGCTTAACCTGCTCTGAGACTGAAACTTTTTTAGGATCTTGTTCCCTTATTATCTATATTCTGTGCCCTGGTATTCATAGTGATTTGACATTTTACATCAAGTTTTGGAGCTTTTTGGCATTCTTCAATATTGTCCAAGTAGAAAGTGCATCAGGAGTTATAAAAGAAAAATCTAAAAGAAAAATATCATAGGTTGGATTTTTCTCTAATCTTCTAAAGCGTTTCTTGAACTACAATGTCATACATTTGATAACCTTTTTTTGTTACATTTTTGTATCATTTGCATAATACAATACACACAGATGATAAAGTCAAAAAATATAAATGTGTAACAAATTTTGGCTAAATCGTTTTTCTATCAAATATAAATGTTTTATAATAAAATGCATTTATTTAAAGTAGCCTAGCGTGTTCATGTGGAACTAATTCTGCTGCACCTTTGCATCTTTCTGTAATTCTTACATTCCTATCAATCACCATATCAAGAATTAGTGGAAAGCTTCACTGACCTAAAGCTTTAGATGATGTCAGTTGTTGCTCCCTACCACAGTGCTCAGAGGAACTTCTAGACAATATGTTGAATTTAGAAACTTTGTTCTTCAGGCATCATGTCTGTTTGTTTGTGGCTCTGAACTCACAAACAGAGGCAAAGATACACACACCTGTTCATGGATACACATATAAACATGTGTTCTTCCATCCTGCTATTGAGAACATTTATGTAGGAATCAAACCCTGTTTCCCTGAACCAAAACAAACAACAACATTGAATGCGTCTTTAAGCATAAATTTAACTTGAATCCATTTCTAAATAACCAAAACTTAAACCTAACCATTAAACCCCGAAGCCTAAATAAATCTTATTCTATTTTCTTTTTTTTTTTAACTAATTGTGTTCCAGCCACTGTTCTGCTGCTGGCTCTGTATTTAATGCAAAGTTGCTGGGTTACGCAGGGAAAGCCATGAGATATCCTAAACAAACCTAACCAATACCCCAAACATAGCCGTGAACCCAGAAAAAACACAGGATTAAGTTGGCCACAAAGGTTTTTTGTCATCCTGCTATCACTGAGAGGATATTTTGTCTTCAAAAACACACACACAGACAAACATTGCTGGCTTTATTCTTAACTCTCTCGAGGTCCGTTGCAAACCACGCTGCGTGCTTGTTTGCCTCTGATCTGACACACAACTGTCCTAAATCTATTTGCTATAAGGAGTCTGTTTACTTGTATGGTTTATTAGTTTGCTGTAAGTGTTTCCTCATTTTATTCAGAGAGGTGTGAAGCTGAGCAGGAGTGTCACCAGGGTGAGATCCCCTCTGGCTGCTTAGCGATAACGGGTACTTGTGTGTGCATGTGTACACACACAAACACACACAAAAAACACACACACACACACACACACACACACACACACACACACACACTCTCTCTCACCTTTGACTGTCACGGAGCAGTTTGTCGACCAACTGTACTCTATTTCACAAATCATCACCATCACACTACCGTGAAAGCTATCAGCAAAAAAGGCACACTTACTGACAAGGACCTGTCACTTCATCAGAATACCAGAAAAAAAAGTCCAGTTCCTTTTATTCCTGCAGTGACCTCAGAGATAAGATAAACATCACCTCTGGTTACTTTCCAGAAAGTTTTACCAGTGAAGCATTTTAAAGGTTTAAGTTAAGAGTGTAAAGAAAATATATATTTATTGATATTTAGCTGATTATCTGAAAACTGTAAACGTCATGTCGATTGCCTGTTATCTTTAATATATTCTACGATATATTATCAGTTAGGACAGAAACGTGGCTTTTAACCTAATTGCACTACGAATTGCTAGTGAATCTTCATGCACGCCTACGCTGATGGCATGGTTATATATAGCATATGTGTATGTCACCCATGCATCCGTGTTTGAGAAAGGTCTCCAAGAGTGAGTGCTTGCTGCGTTTACATCCTCGTGTCAGTGTAGAAAGTTGTGTATTTAAGCTCTGTGTAGGATTCGGAATGTGCTGGGCTGTGTGAGCCGGGAGTTAAAGGTCCTTGATAAAACCAAATGAATTTGGCAGGCCTAACTCATAAGACAGCAATTTGGGGATCTTTTCCAAACCAGAAGAAAGAGAAAGAACATAGGCTGACTTTTCTTCTCTCTCCAAGGCGCCTATTGATTATGTCTCTGTCTCCCCCAATAAAACTGTCAATGTTCACCAATCCTGAGCAACGTGACGAAATTACTACTCTTCATTCCTGGCAGATTGAAAACAGTCCTGGGACAAAGAAAGTTAACATATTCATTTGAAATGATGACCTGTATTTACTGGCCGTAAGTGAGAGATTTGAGTTTCAAAGCGAGTGAATTAATTAGCCAAGCACTATAGCCAGTGGTTCAATCCCCCCTTCAGTCAGTTAAACCAATGATTTCTGACACCACAGTAGAGATAATGGTAAAATGAATTCCATTTATATTAATCATCAAAGGTGTTTTTTGACTATACTTAAAAATGTCTTTAAATTACTGGATGATGTTTGAAGAAAAACAACAAAGAAGTATCCCATGATTATTTTTCACACTGAAACATTTTCACATTTTTAAAGAAGTTTAAGAAAATAATCAAAAGGTTTATTTCAGTTTTTGGACAACATCTTTAATGAAGCAACCTTTTAATATCCATTCTCTAACTTAATGCAAAATGCAAAACCACCTTGCTGGTGCAGTACTTAGTTAGCCTTTTAGCACAGACAGCACCGTTTAGATTGCAGTTGAAAAAAAACATGATTTATTTAAAGTCTTCTGGCTGTGTTATGTACGGACTTCCCTCTGCCCTCAAACTCAGCAGGCATCTTCGCCAGAATGACATCCGCACAACTGATCAGACTCATTCAAACCCTCGCTCTTGAATCAAATGTAGTGTTGCATTTCATGAGCACCCTCACAAACATATTTAGTTTCGTTGTCTTGTGCGTTATGTTTTGTTAGTACATGAAAAACCTCACTCTGTTGTTGAGTTGATGTGCTTTTTTAAGAGAAAGCTTTCTCTCTCCCTGTTTCCCTCGCTCCCTCTTTCTCGTTTTTCTTCTTTTTTCAAGTGCCAATTTATTTAAACTCCTTTCCCCTTTTCTTCTTTCTCCTTCATTGATTTCCAAACCCCAGTCTTTGTATGCAGCTGGGCCCCAGCTGTGTGTCTGTGACTGTGTATGTGTGTGCATAAGTGTGTGTGTGTGTTTGTGTGGGTTTTTCTGGCACAGTGCTGCCACAGTGAGCATAGCACACTGTACACAAAGGACCCGAGCAGCAAAAAAAAGAGGGAAAAAGAGAAAGAGAGAGAATAGGGGGAAAACATTTGAACGTTAAAGACTGACGCGCTTGTACTGTACAGAGTGGAGGGGCCGGGCCTTTTGGACCGGGCCTACTTTAACGGCAGATGTATCGGCGCTCTGGGATGAGGGGTGGGGAGAGCGAGACAGCAATGAAGAGCCCAGGCACCACAGTTTATTACCAGGACTCTTCAAGGGGCTCAACTCAGGCGTCAGAACCAGCGGGTGGGAGGGACAGAGGAGGAAGAAAAGAGAGGAGGATGACAGAGGTGGGGAACTGATGGGGTTGACAGGGCTGGAGACAGCGAAAACAGCTCTTCGGCGTGAGAAGACAACACACGAAGGGGCGTGAGGGATAGAGACAGAAGAGACAGGACAGGCGACAGAATGTGGGAATATTTAAATGTTTCCTCATTTGCTCCTCAACATTCCCACAGCTCCAAGTGTCACAGATTTCTCCCATCCTAGCTCGATGTGCTTGGTGCCATATCTGCACAGCAGTAATGGGGAATCCCTTGATTGAGTCCCTCTGGTATTTTTCACATGTTTATTCGATTATTGCTCATTCTGATGCTTCAGATGTAGCCAAAGTAGTCCCATGTCTTACTGTACGTTCTTGCCGCGTGGCTGCCACGCTGTTGATCCACTCCAGGAGGAATTATTTGGAAAGTTTTGCAGTGCCATTGCGGGATTAATACATGCAGAGGGGTTTTCCGCCATATTAGCTCCTGCACATGACTGTTTGCTGTAAGATCTCTTTGTTACAACAAAACTTCCTCTTTTGCACATTAAAACAAAATATAGTAATAATAGTAATTCGTTTTTTTTTAACTCTGCTAACAATTAATCTTTTATTCAAACAATCACTATCAGGAAGACCTAAATTGACTTGAATAGCACCATGGTGAACACATGACTTTAGAAACTTAAGAGCTGAAAGTATGTCTAAGGATCACACTCCCCTAAACTGTAAGATAGCGCTAATAGCCACAGAGCTCATGAGGTGTGTATGCATGTGTGTGTGTGTGTGTGTGTGTGTGTGTGTGTGTGTGTGTACTCTA